GAAGATCTAATGAGCTGCAGGTGCAGTAATATTTTATTTGTGCTGAAATGTAGTGATATTTATTTATGCTTTATAAAAGCTTGCTAGAGTTCAGGCAGGAAAGAACAGCCATTTTAAGTAAACAGAAATTCAGGCAACACACACGCTCAAACAGATCCCTTATCAGACAGGGTCTTTGTGTGTTCAAGGCCATACTAGAGAACAGAGCAAAGCATGGTGACACACTCCTTTAAGGACAGGACAAAACATAAAAGCCTAAAATTCTGTACAGACATACAATGTAAAAAAGAGATAGCTGGGCTAATATAGACAATTATAGGGCATAAGGACAAGGCAATAAACGCATGTGTAAGACAGCAAGTAGCTTGCATTTGGAAGCTGCAGGGTTGGTGAGGTAAGGTTTGCTTGTGACTTTTCAAATTTCCCTGATCTCTAAGCCTTCATCCCTATATTTGGCACCATGTTTTTTTATTTAATGAGACCATGTAGAAACTTTTCTAAATGCAGGACTTAAATGAAGTGGTATACTCTATTAGGCTTCTTAAATCTTAACATAGAGATTTTAAAAAGAGAAGATTTTGGATGAAGTAGCATCTTTCTGAGAAGTTCAGTGATGATAGGCTTAAGTCCTCTAATGCTGTGGAGTGAAAGGGTGTACTGAGTTTGAGTGATTTACCAGATAGTGTGCTGGACCTGGAAAACAATAGAGTGATGGTTTCAAGCAACAGGAGGGTTCTGGCTATCCAAGACTATGGGAACCACATGAGAGATTGAAAGGGAAATGACATGTCAGAGATAGTGGACTGAGTGTCAAGGAGGAGGAGGAGAGGAACTGCTGACAAATCTGTGGTAGGGAAATATGGGCACTAATGAAATAGAAGCTAGTGCCTTAGCTAAAAAAAATCATTCCCATTAGGCACACAGGGCAGGTGTGCAAAAACAAATTTGTATGCAAGAGGTATACCCCTGAAAATACATTTAAATCATTGGGTTTAGTGATGTACATAAGGTTTTCCCACTACCCAGACAACAGGGAGATTGGAAAGGACAGGAAGACCCCAAAACTCCCACAGCATGCAGTAAGTGCCTCCAGTGTCCACAGGAAAGAATGGGTCATCCCTATACAATAATGTCTACTCTAGGTTTTGGTGTGACATGACTTTTGTTGGTTAAGGTCCTGGGTTCCTTCAATCGTCCATTACCCAGGGTAGGACATTGCCTGTAGGTTGGTCTTTCATTGATGTCCCCATGCCATGAGTTACTCAGGGGCAGTCAAATGACCTATGTCCATATTGATAGCAGAAGTCCAGGTGGCCTTCATTGTGCAGTGCTTGCTCAAGCCCTCTAGCACATTTAAAACAGGGACCTGGAGGCCTTCTTGTGGCTGGTCAGATAGCCTGTGCTGGGTTTGACAGTCTTCTTTGCAGGTTTCCAGATCTCTCATATAGCTATGCCGTGCAGGAACCTAGACTATGTAATCAAGCTGCATGCAGGTTACATAATCACATACCACAGGGTAACTTAGTAGGCAAGGCCCAGGGATGACTAAGCTATCTTCCTGACTGATGGACAGAGGATGCACAGTCATGTAGTTAGGGGGTGGCTGGTACACATAACACAACAAGAGAAAATAAGACAGTAATTTACTGTTAGTTGGAGGCAGAGCCCCTGGTAGTTTCATTTTATCATATGTTCCTTTTTCAATTTCCCTGCTCCTTTTACAACACACAGGAAGGAGGGTGAGACAGATGAGTCAGCAGCTCTAATGGAGATCTCCAAATTCATTGCTGTTATTTGCTTTCCATTCTATTTTAGACAGTTCTCTCCTTATTGATTCCTAATCTATGTGTATTTGAATATGAGTCAGACAGATGGAATAAAAAAGCTTGCAGCCCACAGTTTCAATAGCTAGGCTCCTGGCTAAATTCCAGCTCTTAGCTGGATTTTGCCAAAGCCTGACTGTAAACAACACAAGAGAAGGGTAACTGTTCCAGAGAACTGCAGCAGACAGAGGCAGTAAAATCATGGATAGGCAGGGATTTTATGGTATGGCCCTCACTCCTGCTCTGAGTCACCTGCACCTGTTTGCTCTACCAGAAATCTCTTTCTTCCTCTGAAGCAACTGCTTCAGCCTTAATATCTGTGATCACTGCCTCAGTCTTGCATCCTGCATTATTTGGAAGAAAGATGTATGTTGAGAAAAAATACCTGGCCTAAACCAGGGATGTTTTGATCATATGCTGACTCATAGGACCCATTAAGGAAATGACTGTTCAGTGAAATTCTCACTTAGCCACCTTGGACTCTATGAAAATTTCAAGAATCAGATTCTACAAGTAAGTGCATTTTGAGAATCTAAAATGGTATTACGATAACTCTTGCCTGAGAGATACAATTTGCAGCCCAGAATCACAATCAGCCATCAGCAAGTGGAAAGTGAGGCTTTCAGGTAGATAGCCAGGATAAACAGCCATGTACCTGGATATATAATCACCCTCTAGTTTCCATGAGATGCTTTTCTCTTTTGAGAATTGAATTCTGGGCTTAAAATTCATTACATCATTTCCTGTCATCCACTTTCAGTTTCATTGTTTGGGCAGCAGCACACATATAGTTGGGAGGGTGAAATGACTCAGCAGCTCTGAAGCAGTTCTCAAAGAGTACCCCAGGATTTGCTTTCCATTGGTGGAATTGAGTTCACTCTCCTTATTGATTCCTGTGGGTTGGGCCATGTTCCACCCCCTAAATTCCCCAGAGAATTCTCCAGTACAAGCAGCGGGAAATACTATTTAGAAGGATTTAGGAAAGAGAAACACATAGAAAATACAGGAAAGCTTTGAGAGTGATCGTATCCTAATCCATCCAGCATCTATTGTCTCTGCCCTTGGGTATTTAAAGGAATGCCAAGGGGTGGAGAAAAGACAACCCCCTGCACAAACAGGTGCAGGTCATCTCAGCCACCCTCACTCAGACCCATGATCCAATCATTATCTATAAGCAGACCTGCTCGGTAGGGCCTAAAGGGGTTTTAAAAGTTTCCTATTCCAAAAACAATTTGAATGCACACCTTCCTCCATCAGAAGCATGAAGAGCTAATAAAGTTTTCAGCAGAGCAGTTTCTCACCAGTCAGCCTGTGGTATATTCTGGGTCTCAGTTGCTCATGAGCACACCAAAATCTGATTGTTATTTGGTGCCCACAAGGCAGATTGCTCCTGTAATGCAAGGGGATACAGATCCTGTGGAAATTACCAAATTAAAGACTGTTTGATTCAAGCATTACAGATCTGAGTCACCTGATCCTGTCAAATGTGCAGCAGGCAGATTCCTGCTTCTGCAGCTACTGCTTCTCTTTAAAGGTGTGGTCTCCCTTTCTAAGTTTGAATTCACTTCAGGCTTTAGGAGCTGGCATTGCTTAGGGGAGTCCTGCTCTTCCCTTCTGAAGCTACTGCTTTCCTTAAGGATATAGCATCCCTGTGCCAGTCTTGATGACTTGCTCTATGGGTAAGGAAGATGAATTTCTTGAGGCTTTAGTATCTGGCAGAGACTAGTGAAATCCTGCTGTTTCCTGTACCCTGGGAGATTTATTGTGGGAATGGCTATCGCAATGTAGTTTTATTCATGAAACATAGAGACACTGAAAATATGGAGCAGTAACATTTGGAGTAACTTCTCTATCTGTCACCAAAGGCAATAAAGAATGGAAAATACACTATAGCACTGGAAAATAAATTGTTAATATCCTTATGCCATTTAGGTATTCACAGAATCAACTTTGCATTCTTGATTTGCATTATCACTGTGTTCTTGCATAAAAGTCTCTTGTAAGTGATTTTTTCCTACTTCTCAGTCCATACTTATATATGAAAAAAAGAAGACATTAAGTTCATTGGAAGTCAATTATTTATTGATGATGGTAAACAGGCATTCAATACTTCATTTGATAATAATAAACACATCTGTTTCATTTTTTCTTGAATAATTACTTGATTCCTCCCCTGATTATTTGGCCACTAGGACAAAATTATATTTGAGAGTTACTTACTATTTTCTCTTTCAGGGTATGTAGCTCATGAGAATGAGAAATTTTTTTTCTCATCATTTAGTCCGATAACATGCAGATTAACCTTCAGTCCTATCACATGTAGTCAATCCCAGTGAAGCTTCTAAATAGCAGCAGATGGATATCTGTTCTATGAATACATAAGAGTGTAGGTACTTCAAAAATAGTTTATTTCCATCATATTGGGGTGTGTAAGTATATTTTTGAAATGGTATTTAAGCTCCAGTTTGTCACTAAAGGCATACTTTTGTCCTTGGAGTAAAACAAATAACACATTACTGCCACATTAGTGAGAAAACACTGACACCCTTCATAGTATAAGGGATTCAGTTTCCACAATATCTCTCCACTTGTTCTATGATGCATTACAATTACATTATAACATTTGTATAAGTTTATGTATGTGTATATGTATGAGTTTGCTTATGCATCTGTATACATATACACAGATACATATGCACGTGTACACTTTCTTGACATAGTTTTAATTTCATGCATAATTACTGAATTTAGATTATTTTGCACTCATTTTTTCCATCCTACTACATAATTTCTGCACTGTATATTGTCAAAATAAATACCACTATTTATTAAAATTGTTTTAGCAAATTATACACATAAATATATACATAACTAATTCACACAGTGTACAGAATGTGGTGAGTAGGTGTAGTCATTTGAGCATTGACCTTTTGTAGTTGAAAGGTCTATCAGTGTTAGTGTACAGTGTAAATGAATTCTTTCTATCTTAGCATCCAATATTTGTGCAAGATTTTCTGCTAAGTGGGGATCTTGAGAGAGTTTCACATCTATTTTGGCATTATAATCTCTGGTTTTTCTCTGCTAAACATTTTTGGTTGTTTCCTTGCCTTCATGTAGTATTTTATTGGCACTCAAATTGTCTAATATTTGTGCTTTTTAATTCTCTATTTTTCTTAGATGACACTGTCTTCATGCAGAAATCCTTTTTGTTTTAATATGGACTGTGTCTGACCATTCCATGAAATATTTTCTTATTCAACGTTTACTGGTGAGTTCCTGGATTGATCAGGTGACCTGAGACAAATCATTATAAGTTCTATGCCATTTAAGTAGGTTTGGAGTTCTGTAATAGTGATGGACATGATGTTTTTTTTTCAGACAATAACAGCCCAGTGTTGCCTGTTGTTATGAGGATAAATATATCATGACTGTCAAAAATTATATGCTTTCTTATAAGTTTGCAGATGAAGGTTCTCCTTCTGGATCTTCTAACTTCCTGGCCATTTGGAACATACTAAGATATTATATTCCACAGAATTTGTGTTCCTGTCAATGATATATGTCTGCATTTCTGAAAAAGGTTAGAGTGAAAACTGGATCTACCTTTGCATATGAAACCAGCAATAACCTATGAAGGGCTAAATGTTGGTAAATTATAACATTTAAAAGAGTTGGTAAAGTCATCTATTTTACCTTTTTTTTTTAGTCCTGTTAGCTGCAATTTTACCTTAATAAAGCAGAATGATTATCAGTGGAGATAACAGGTCTATCAATGGCATAAGTGACTGTTTATAATACACTCATAATGTAAACAATTGTTGAAAGTACATCCTTTTTATGAACAACAATGATGTCACATAATTTTTCCAAATTCTGTGCATTTATGTACAGGAGACTCCTCAGCATTTTTCTTGTATGATGTGTGTGTGTGTGTGTGTGTGTGTGTGTGTGTGTAAAAGAACACACTGTTACCTGTCTTGACACTTTTTTCTGTTGAAACTTTCTTTACTGAACATCTGTATTGTTTTTGACCTCATGAGGCAAATCCTAAATTCCTATGATATTTGCAGTTTAACAAGGCTCAGCATAGGGTATGGAATAGCACATAACATTTATGGCTGGCTCTTTTCCCTCCTGCACCCCTTTCTCTGAGAGACTGTCTTCATGACTTAGCTATCAGGAGCCGTGATTACTGCTGTAGCTCTGAAAAGCTGTTGGGTCCATTCTGTCACTGAGTAGTGTATGTCTCACTGCTTATAAACACCATTTAATCCACATGCTTTCAATATATGCTACCATTAGTGCTTTTGATCTTGGCTATTCTGACAGGTTCTTAGGAATGGTATCTTACTGGTAGTTTGATATGTATTTCCCTGGTCTCTAGAGGTGTTAACACTTCTTTAAGTGTATCTGGGGCATTCAAGATTCATCCTTTGAGAATATTCTCTTTAAATCTGTCCTCATTTTTACTGGCTTTATTTGGTATTTTTATGCCTGGTTTCTTGTGTTCTTTATATATATATATATATTTTTAATAACAATAATCTATCAGATATGTAGTTGGTGAAGATTTTTTCCCATCCTGTGGGCCACTCTTTTGTCTTATTGGCAGCATTTCAGGGAGGGCCTCAGCTAATTCTCCTAACAATAGGGAGAATGTTCCCAAAATGGCCTTCCCCCTTAATCAGATTGGTGACTATACAAATGGTCTTCATAGACCCTTCATCCAGTACCTCATGGAAGCAAATGCAGAGATCCAGATCAGGCCCTGGCTTGAGATCTTAGTGTCCATAACACAGGATATAGGGATTATATAAGCAGGGGGGGCATCAAGATTATGATGAGAAAAACCACATAGACAGATGACATAAGGTTTTGTGGACTCATGGACTCTGGAAGGACAGCCAGGGGCTGGCATTTGACTGGGCTAAGCCTTCTGCATCTGGGAGACATTTCTGTAGTTTGGTCTTTCATGGGACCCCTAGCAGTGTTACCACGACCTGTCCTTAATGCATGAGCTGGTTCTTTGAAACCTATTCTCTATGGTAGGATGCCTTATGTGGCCTTGATGTAGTGGGCAGGGGGTTGCTACTGCCTCAACTTGATATTCAGTTCTTTCCTGATTCCCAAGAGAGACCTTACCCCATTTGAAAAGAGAGGGAGGAAGGAATGGGGATTTGAATGGACTTACAGGGAGAGTATGGGAGCAAGAAAGCATGGGAAATTGTTGTTGATAATGTGAAATAATATGTAAAAAATTTAAAAAAGACTACATGAGGAAACATTTTAAAAAAGTAAATCAATTTAAATGTTTGGTCAGAAAGCTTCTTAAAAGTGCCATGCCCCTATTTTTAGCCTGTACCCAGTCAAGAAGCCTGCTCTTAAATGAGCCATCCATCTGTTTCCCACTAGCAATAGCTTAGCTGAGGAAAGCCAGTGATCAGTGAGTCACCATTAACCCTTATTTTGAGTGCTTAGCATCATTTTTGTTGATTTTTTCAGTCTTATCTGTAAACTCTGGCCCCATGGAGGAATGCCATTTGTAGCTCGGGTTTTCTGTCCCACCAGACTATTCACAAATAACCACACAGAGACTTATTAATAATTATAACTCAAGTTTATTACTAGCTAAGTCATATATTTTAAATTAACTCATAATACTTATCTATGCTCTGCCATGTGGAGTGGTTCCTTTTCTCAGTATTGCAGGTTTACCTCCTTCTCTCTTAGTCTATTCACAATTCTGGGACACCTCCCTTCTTCCCAGAAACCTCATTGATTGTTTATCCTGCCTAAATTTATCCTGCCTAGGTACAAACCAGTCAGGTTCTTTATTAAATCAATCACAATGATATATATTCAGACATTATAAAGCAATATTCCACATGCTATTCGTGGGTTTTTTCATACACACTCCCACATTAATTAAATTGGTTTGGAGACATTGATTTCCATTCCTACTGTCTGTCTGACAAGTTTTACATTAAAGTCTATATGTAAATATTTGGGAAATATATATATATATATATATATATATATATATAGTCTAAAATATGTGTATTTTTCTTTAAATATTTCACTTATTATGCAGTGACTTCATCCTGAATCTCAGCCCTAAATTCTGAAGTACAACCACATTTCATAGAAATTGAAACTGTCCAGGTAATGCTTAATTTCATACCACAGATTAGTTGAGATCTACAGCTGCTGTAATGTAGGATAAAAGTTAGCATATACAGTGTGCATTTGAAAGCATATCAACATGGAAAATTTATTATGTATATGTAGGTTGCAGTATATATTGGTTAATACAATATCACAACACTTGCCCATTTTTCTAAAATAAAAAAGCTTATAACTAATACAAATAAAAACTATATCCAATAAGTATATACAATATATTCAGTCAGCCTTTTTGAGGCCTTGACTATGGTACCCCAATGCCAGCTTGAAGCAGTTCCAGAAGAGAATATGTCATCCCATGTTCCCTGTTCAGAAAAGGCTGAAATGCTGGGTCAAAAGAAAACTCCCTGGCATAGAGGCAAGATATCCAACTATCATGCCCATTTAAATACCAGAAAAATAGGTTCAAAGTGGTAAATAGAAAATTTATTAACAGAAATGTTTCTGCAATAAGTTAAGACACTTGGCCTTCATTGTGCAGAACCAAGAGGTATTATATAAAACCATAATCTGGTTGTACTGAAAGATTAGAACTACAGGGCCTTACAAATGGCAAAAGATATAGATGTTGAACCCTAGAAAAATCTGTTAGCTAATGGTTCCTAGGACAGGTAGGACTCATGGTTAAGTCCTAGCATTGGTACTTGTGAAGGGGGAATGTGAAGGGGCCCCAGAATAGCTTGACCACACAGGCTTGACAGGCTTAGGGTCCTAGACACAGCTTCTGTGACAGGCTTACTGTCAGGCAACACCAATATCCAGGAAAAGCCTTAAGCTGATACCTCCCAGGGATCAACCTAGGGATCTACCATTAGATAAGGTGGCTAGATGTCCTTGAGACTAGCACACACCTATTTTTTTTTGTTGTTGTTTTACTGATACCCCTAGACAATTTTCAGCCAGTCAGGTTTCTGTACCCTGGAAATCCTCTTATCCCAACAGCTGCTATGATGAAAACTCTGCCCCACCTGAGCTCAGGGCTCTCTGCTCTTACCACTGTGTCACACATACAGAGGAACCAAGCTCTTCAGAGCTTGAAATAAAGGCTCTTCCGTTTTGATGCCTGGTGGGGTGGATTACATTAACAATGTCTCGTCCATTAACATTTTACAGATTCAGACAAACAATTTTATTACTTATCCTATTTAAAACAAGTAGTTCCTTTCTATAAGTAGATTCATTAAAGTACGTTTTGTCTTATCATATCCATATTCTCTCTGTTTTCCTTTCTGAGTAGATTCTAAAGTCTACCTTTTATCTTATTATTTCTATTTCTATATACTCTTTTTTCTTTTTTTTTAAAAAAACACAAGAACCCTCAATCTAATCTCCTTTATTTATCTTTTTTTGTGACCATTAAAAATTAACTTATAACCAAGCATTATAAACAATGATAATTAAACATGAGCCATTGAATAACCAAAAACCACCCACTCCAACCTCTGGGCATGTGGGCATAGTTTTCTTAAAATTACATCCTGCTTTTTGAGAGTGAAGACAACTTTAGGAGACCCAGAAAATATTTGGGGGGGTTACTTGTCAAGTCCTGGGAAAGGTAGCAGTATCATTTGTTATCTAGACTCTGCATAGTGCAAAAGTGCAGAGCTTGTCTCAAGTCCTTGATGGAGTTGTCTGTGAATCTGGATCATCTCAGCTAGCCAACTTGAAATTTCCTGATTAGTTTGTAGTCCAAACTGATCTCTCAGTGGTATTAATCACCTTAATAGCTTTATCATAGTCCATGTGGAATCTTCATTTTGGGGTCCTGTCATGCTTTTGAACATTCAAATTTGCTGTTAGGTATGGCCATGGTTTCCTTCAGAAATTTTCTTTTTTCTTTTCTTAATTTTATTTAATTTTATTGTGCCTCCTCTGTGGTGTGGAGCAATCACAGTCTGATAAATGTCTGTCTCTTGGAACCATGAACATTCTTCCCTAGAAGAGAATCTCTTTAATATGAAATTCTCCCAACCACTGGCCTCACCAAAATTCTTCAAACTCACATTTGCCATTGCTTTCTTGTAACACAGTTGTGTTTGCAATTTTTCTCTGAACAAGCAGTAGTACTCCATTCATCACTAGTAG